GCATGCAAGGCAACACTCTACCTCTGAGCCACCTTCCCAGCCCCCACCACATTCTTTTATAGCAACTCAAACTCTCTCCATCTTAGCTGCCCTCCCACAGCCTGGAGCAGAGAAAGGGGCTGCCTGTAAGAAGGTCCTTTTAGTGAAGAACTGTCCCTTTTTGTCACATAAACCCTCCTTTTCATCTCTCATCAAATCAATCGTTCACTAGCTTGGATCACAAACTGTACCCTCTCTTTAATTAATGGGGAACGTATAAAAAAGAAATAGGGTAAATGCAGGAGGAAAGAAAAAAGCAGCCACCACTTAGGTTCCCAGACAACAGCCTTGTTACTACTGATTCCACATAATGATTTTAAAATCTACTTGCCACTGGTTAAGTTTGGAAACATCCCATGAGGTTCAACCAGAGCAAAACTCCCTTCTTAACTTATCTGTTCACCAAGGGGAAAAAAAACTGGGAGAGAGGGAGGGAAGGGGTAACATGTCAGAAAAGAAATATACTCATTACCTGACCTATGAAACTGTTACCCCTCTGTATATCACCTTTATAACAATAAAAAAAAGTTTATAAAAATTACAAAAAAATTATGTGAACCTCTTCTTCTAGAAGACAAGCTGAGGACAAGAGAGAAAGCTAAGTAATATGTTTCCTGGAACGTTACTCTGCACAATGCACTTGGCCAGCATTCAGTGAAACTTTTTTGTATGTTTGCTGATGCTGGGGCTTAAGCTCAGGTCCTAGGAGCTTTTGTGCTCAAGGCTGGCACACTACCACTCAAGCCACAGTTCTACTTCTGGCTTCTTGGTACTTAATTGGTTGAAGATAAGAGTTTCATGGGCTTTTTTCCTAGACTGGCTTCGAACTGCCATCCTTAGATCTCAACCTTCTGAGTAACTAGGATTATAGGCCTGAGCCAGTCAGAGCCTAGGACCTCACTGAACTTTCTAGAAAACAAGTTAAAATATGTGGACTAAATTTTACTTGTCCAGATACACTTACACCTACTTCTTGACCCAGCATTCTCAAAGAGGCAGCTTACTTCCATTACTTGAAGATCTATTTTATGGGCATAAACCCCAAAGCCCAGGGGTCAATCAGAAATCACTAACCAGAAACAGACCAGAAGTAGGTAATAGTAAATACCTTCCTCTCGTCCCCATTTAAAATGATAGTCTCACTACACTGCTCAGGCTGATTTCTAGCTCTTCGGCTCTCAGGCTGATTTCTAGCTCTTCCCCTGTCTTAGTATCTTAGTAGCTGAGACTGTAGGCATGTACTATTTGTATGCCTGGACAAAAACCACTTGAGACTTCCACATGAAGACAATTCTTTTTAACATACAACCAAAATAATAATAAATATCTGCTTTTCTTTAACTATCTCAGACATTGTGTGTGTGTGTGTGTCTGTGTGTATATGCATGCTGGTCCTGGGACTTGAACTTAGGGCCTGGGCACTGGCTCTAAGCTTTTTTTGCTCAAAGCTACTGCTCTACCATTTGAGCTACAGTTCCACTACTTTCATGTTGTTTAATTGAAGATAAGAGGATCAAAGACTTGAGCCAGGCACCTGTGACTCACACCTGTAATCCTAGCTACTCAGGGGGCTGAGATATGAGGACTAAAGTTTGAAGCTAGTCCAGGTAGGAAACTTCTGAGATTCTTATTTCCAGTTAACCACCAGAAAACTGGAAGTGGTGCTGTAGCTCAAAGTGGTAGAGTGCTATACTTGAGTGAAAGAACTCAGGGACAGTGCCTAGGCCCTGAGTTCAAGCCCTACAACTTTAAAAAAAGAAAACAAAAAAGTCTCAAAGACTTTCCTGCCTAGACTGGCTTCAAACTGCAACCTCAGATCTCAGACTCCCGAGTGTAGCTATGATTACAGACATGAGGCACTGGCAGTTGGCTCAAACATGTTTTAGTAAATTAAAATAGAAACGGAAATAGAACTGTGGCTCAAGTGGTAAGAGTGATAGCCTTGAGCAAAAAAACTCAAGACAGTGCCCAGGCCGAGTTCAAACCCCAGGACTGGCAAAAACAGTCACTCAATTACTCCTTTTGTGATGTTCCTAAACCCATACAACAAAGACTGCTGAGTAGTGATTACGAATATTAAAACTCTCAAACATAAGTACTTTCAGTATGCATCTGTGCAGTGGAGCAGGTGGCAACCTTACCACCCCACCCATACCTTAAAAAGGAAAACAGCCTTTCCTACCTGTCATCATGAGAAGCAATTCTTTCTCCAAAGACCATCCGTGCAGGAGTTAAAGATAATATTCCAAGCTCCTGGAGCTGGGTTAAGAAGTGCTGCTCTGTTCGTGGAATAAGTTGAATACACATTCAGCAAAGGGCTATATTCCCAGATGTGAAAATAAATGAACATTTACCCATATGTTCACTCAAAAGTTATAGAAACTTTTTTTTTTTTGGGGGGGGGGGAGGTTTCTGGTCGTGAGGCCTGAACTCTGGGCCTGGGAGCTGTCCCTTAGCTCTTCAGCTCAAGGCTAGCGCTCTACCACTTGAGCCACAGCGCCACTTCCAGCTTTTTTCTTTTTGCTTATGTGGTGCTGAGGAATCGAACCCAGGGCCTCAGGCATGCAAGGCAAGCGCTCTGCCACTGAGCCACCTTCCCAGCCCTGTAGAAACTTTTTTTTTTTGCCTTTTCTTTTCCCCTTTGGTCATGGGTCTTGAACTCTGGGCCTGGGCTCTGTCCCTCAGCTCTTCAGCTCAAGGCTAGCGCTCTACCACTTGAGTCCCTGCACCACTTCCAGTTTTCTGGTTGTTAATTGGAGATAAAGAGTCTCCCGGACTTTCTTGCCTGGCTGGCTTTGAACCACGATTCTCAGATCTCAGCCTACTGAGTGGCTTGGATTACAGGCATGAGCCACGGGTGCCCAGCTAAAAACTGTTTTTCTAGTCAGTCATTTCTACTAAATCATGAGGGGGGGGGCAGGAAAGGGAGACCCAAACTAAGACAAATGCAATGTATGAACTAACCAGCTATTTTTAATGCTATGTTAGGATTTATTAACAAGTTTATGGTTTATTCTAAGGAAGCAAGAAAAATGAATCATCTTGTGTTTAAAAAGTAGCTGCTTAGTTCAGACACTGAGGAGATATGTGCAATAGAGAACAAAAGAGTGACAAGCTAGGTAGAGGCAGCCTAGAGCAAGCTGCCTTGTCCCAATTTCAAGAAAGGTAGCTTACTCCCTTCCCTCATCCAGGAGTCTGTCAGACATCCTCTCTAGCTGATTTCCTATCTTGCTTTTTTTGTTCTTGTTTTTTTGGTCCTAAACCAGAACTCAAACTTGGTATTAGACATTTTTGCTCATGGGTGAGGCACTCTACCAAACTGTACCACATTTCCAACCCCTAAAGGGTTGGTTATTTCTTTTCTTTTCTCATTTTACTTACTGTCTCTGCAAGTATTCACTGATTCTCATAGGTTAGGTGGGTGGTAAAAGAGGAGAATGGAGGGCCAGAGTCACATTGCAGAAAATCAGCAATGGCAAAAAGCTGTTAAGACTAAGGTCTAAAGATAGCCTATTTTTCTATTTCCTGTACTAGAACTCACCACTGACCTGAATGTAGTAACTCATTATTATAGAACTGCAGAGTAGAGTTTGGAGGTATAGGTCAGCATACACAAGGCCCTAGGTTTGATCTTCAGCACCACAAAAAACTTTTAAGGATCCAGTTGCAAAAATAGCTACAAAATGAGTGTGTCTAGCTGGGCATTGGTGGCTCAAGCCTGTAATCCTAACTACTCAGGAAGCTGAACATGAGGATCATGGTGCAAAGCCAGCCTGGCAGGAAAGGCCATGAGACTTTTTTTGTGGGGGGTCTGGTCGTGGGGCCTGAACTCTGGGCCTGGGCGCTGTACCTCAGCTCTTCAGCTTAAGGCTAGCGCTCTACCACTTGAGCCACAGTGCCACTTCCGGCTTTTTTTCTTTTTGCTTATATGGTGCTGAGGAATCGAACCCAGGGCCTCATGCATGCAAGGAAAGCACTCTACCATTAAGCTACCTTCCCAGTCCCCCATGAAGACTCTTATCTCCAATAAACCACTCAGAAAACCGGAAGTGGCACTGTGGCTTAAGTGGTAGAGCATTTGGCTTGAGCTGAAGAGCTGAGGAACAGTGCCCAGGCCCAGAATTCAAGCCCCGTGACCAAAAAGGTGGGTGGGGGGGGGACGACAAAACAACAAACAAACAAAACGAGTGTGTCTACATTATTTCCCATATACTTCACTAGTGACTCAGTTTCACTTGCTGTTTAACATACTGGGCAAATCTTAGCCCCTGCCCTTATCTACCTTTTTGTTCTAATACTTTGATGTGTTAACTTCCTGCATAGCCTTGTTCACTTGTTTTCCCACCATAAGCTATGACAAAAAACAGTTAAGATCCTCTAAAATATTTTACAATTCATAAAAAGTTCAAACCTTTATGTATGGTTTGCAAATCTGCCACAAATTACTCCATGACAAATACTTTTATACTGAACTATTAAACCAGCTGTTCTAAAAATAATGTATTTTAAAGTGAAAAACTTAACTGAGCAGTGTGAAAATCACTATTTACCCAGCCTAATAAAAGAACATATAATTTGCATAAAAACAAAAAAATTACTTACAATTTGAGCTCTAATTTTCTAACAACCATGTTAGCTTTCTATCCTCCCGTGAAATCAGCTCCTCTTTTGTATACTGTGACACTCTCAATTGATATTTTACTAGATAAGTATCACATGTTGCAAATATAAACCATCATGAAATATCTGATTAGAAATCTGGAAAAAATCATTTAGCCTCACCTGTGATATTAGGGTCACGCCTTGTTCTCCACTGAGGGACAAATACAGTGATGTTTCTGTTGCCAAGCTTCCAAAAATATTCAACTGCAATTGCAATTCCACGACAAGAAAAGAACTTTTTCAGTCCATGGCTGTAAGAAAATAAAACTTTCAGATTAAAGCATGTCTTAATTATTTATTTATTTTTGTCAGTCATGGGACCTGAACTATGGGCATGCGTGCTGTCCCTCAGCTCTTCAGCTCAAGGCTAGTGTTTTACCACTTGAGCTACAGCACCACTTCCAGCTTTTTCTGCTTATGTGGTGCTGAGGAATTGAACCCAGGACCTCACGCATGCAAGGCAACACTCTACCTCTGAGCCACCTTCCCAGCCCTAAAGCATGCTTTAAAGCGTAAGTTCACCACAAAATACATCAACAACAAAAATAAGAAAAACTGGATTTTCTTTAGTGTGTTTATATGTTTTAGCATTTATAAAGTTTACAACTGTGAAAAGCCAAGATAAGACCCATTGAAATAGTTGTAAATTTCTTGCTAGTACTTTTTTCTTTTTCTTTTACTTAGTTGTTATTTGGGTGTACTGTTTTGGTAGTACTTATTTATCATTGCGCATTTTTTTTTCAACAGTTCATTTTACTATAGGAAAAAATGCTATTGAAAGTTCTGCCTAATCCACTGCCCTCTAAGAATCTCTTATAAGTTATATTAAGAAAATGTGTTGTAAGCCAGATGCTGGTGGCTCAATGCCTATAATCCTAGCTACTCAGGAGACAGAGATCACAATTCAAAGCCAGCTTGGGCAGAGAAGTCCATGGGACTCTTCCTTAAATTAACCACCAAACAGCTCAAGAGCAGAGCTCAAGTGGTAGAGTCCTAGTCTTGAGCACAAAAGCCCCCAAAACAGCCTCCAGGTCCTGAGTTCAAGACCCAGAACAGATACAAAAAAGAAAAAAAAATGCAGACTCTTTAGCAGCTGTGGCAATGCCTAGGCCTCATGTGTCTAGATAATGCAGCAAAGGGATAAAGGTATGACCTAGTCATCACTACAATTTCCAAGGCTGATGTTGCTCTGGCTCCAGAAGTGCTCTTTGGAAGACTACAAAATCTACCTAACTGGGGACTGTGGAAGAAGACTTTGTTCAAAGAGGCACGAAGAAGAGAAAAAAGGTAAATAAACAACAAACAGGACAGAATATGGGCCAACACACTTTTCTATAAAGAGCAAAACAACCTGTCTCACCTCCCAACTCTACCCTAACAGTGTGAAAACAGCAAGAGACAGATCAAATGCACAAATATAGCTCATTCCAACTTCACAAAAAAAGATGGTGCCTGGACCTGACCCAAAGGGTGCAATTATCCCTGGGCACAGCAGAGAACTCAAATGCACACCCTCTATCTGTTACTAGTCAGTGAAGTGGGAGGAGAAAAGTCCTTCCTTCTACACAAAATCCTCTTCATTTTGAGGTCCCTTCCACAACTGAATATCCACAGGTATTGGCCAACATGAACCTCCCCATCATGTGTTAATGGCACTCTTGGCTTTGGCCAACTGGTCTTCAATCCCCATTCTTCCTGGTCTCCAGTTTTCCTTAATTGAGTGCACGCGTGCATGCGTGTTTGCATGTGTGTCAGTCAAGGGTCTTGAATTCTGGGCATGGTCACTGTCCCTCAGCTCTTCAGCTCAAGGCTAGCACTCTACCACTCTAGCCACAGCACCACTTCCAGTTTTCTGAGTGGTTTATTGGAGGTAAGAGTCTCACATACTTTCCTGCCTGGCCTGGCTTTGAACTGGGATCCTCAGATCTCAGCCTCCCGAGTAGCTAGGATTATTGGTGTGAGCCACAGGTGCCCAGCCCTTAACTGCTTTCTTAGCATGCAAGGCTCTCATACCTTCCCTATTTGCCCATTCTTCAAAGGCTCTCTTCAGAGCTCCAATCTAATCTTTCTTCTAGTTCTAGGCATAGACCTTTTAATTAGACCCCTCCTCTTTGCATCTTCTATGGAGCAAGAGAATCAGAGGGGAATTTAGATTCCTGTTAGTGTGATGTGTATTGTTGTGTGACCAGGAGGTAGACGTGTGGGGTCACACAGGCCTCCTCACTCCTGTCCAATCACTTTTCCAAGATGCCATCCATATCCATATTGGTGTTGTCATCCCAACTACATCAGTAATTCTTTTTTTTTTTT